ACATTTTTTGTTGATGTAATGCTAATTTTTATTAACGCATCAACACTTTGTATCAGTGTAAATTTTTGTTAACGCACCAACGCTTTGTGTCAGTGTGAACCATCAAAATGTTGGTGCATACATTTGGTGTACAAATAAGGTACAATTTTTGGGGTGCATGTAGCATGCTCCATTAAAAAATCACTTTTACTCCTTATTTTTTCATACTCACTTTTCCCTCCGTCCCTGAGTATTCGTCCAGTTTTGACTTTTGAAACTTTTCATCTAAGCACTTTGACTCATCAAATTCTCTCAATGTGTAAGCCTAAATATAGTCATGTGTGATCTTGTTTGATTTGTCTTAACATAAAGATTATTAATATATAATTTCTATAATTTTTTAATATAGAAATTACAAGATAAAATGGATTAAAGAAGTGTATTGGATGGTATGTAAAAATAAAAGTGGACAAATACTCTGGGACGAAGGTAGTAGTTAACAAAAACACTTATTTTATGAAAATTAAATTTCATATTTGTTAAACACAGATTTCTAAGCGTAATCGCGTTTAAAAACTTTTATATTTTACATCATTATTGGAAAATATTAAAATCTTTATACATAAAATTTGAGAGTTGGGCTTCTAGGATTGTGACATGTGGAACGCTTCTTAGACAACTTTTTTGACATGTAAGCATGCCATGTCAGCAAGTAATATTTAAAGAATTAGTTAACAAAAACACTTATTTTATGGAAATTGAATTTCGTATTTGTTAAACACAGATTTCTGAGCATAATCGTGTTTAAAAACTTTTATATTTTACATCATTATTGGAAAATATTAAAATCTTTATATATAAAATTTGAGAGTTGGGATTCTAGGATTGTGACATGTGGAACGCTTATCAGACAACTTTTTTGACATGTCAGCATACTAAATCCGCAAGTAATATTTAAAGAAGTAGTTAACAAAAACATGTATTTTATGAAAATTGAATTTCGTATTTGTTAAACATAGATTTCTCCGCATAATCACGTTTAAAAACTTTAATATTTTACATCATTATTAGAAAATGTTAAAATTTAATTAATAATATATTTTGATACGTAGTATTTAAACAAGGAACTCATATTAAAAAAATAAAAAAAACAAATTTATTCCAAGAAGGGATAGATTAGTAGGACTAAAGTAAATCTTTATATATAAAATTTGAGAGTTGGGCTTCTAGGATTGTGACATGTGGCACGCTTATAAGACAACTTTTTTGACATGTCAGCATGCCATGTTAGGAAGTGATATTTAAAGAATTAGTTAACAAAAACAGTTATTTTATGGAAATTGAATTTCGTATTTGTTAAAAACAGATTTCTCAGCATAATCGTGTTTAAAAACTTTTATATTTTACTTCATTATTCAAAAATATTAAAATTTAATAATATATTTTGATACGTAGTATTTAAACAAGAAACTCATATTAAAAAAAATTAAAACAAACAAATTTATTCCAAGAAGGGATAGATTGGTAGGACTAAAGTAAATCTTTATATATAAAATTTGAGAGTTGGACTTCTAGAATTGTGACATGTGGAACACTTATTAGACAACTCTTTTGACATGTCAGCATGCCATGTCAGCAAGTAATATTTAAAGAAGTAGTTAACAAAAACACTTATTTTAATGAAATTGAATTTCGTATTTGTTAAACACAGATTTCTCAGCATAATCGCATTTAAAAACTTTTATATTTTACATCATTATTGAAAAATATTAAAATCTTTATCCTTTAATATAATATTTGAGAGTTGATAGCCTAGAATGATGACACGTGGCAAGTGAAAGGCTCCTAATTTGACACGCGTCCAATTATTAGCGGAAGCTCCTTCTTTCTTCCCTTCGACCTTCTTCTTCGCGTTTTTCGTGGAAAGGAAAGTAAAAAAAAATTGGATCTTCACGCTAGGAAACTAATTTGATTCAGCCCCGATTCCTCGCTGCCTTGTATTTACACGGAAGGAAAGAAATCGAGGTACTGCTATTCGACTTTCCATTCTTCCTCTTCGGTTACCCCGATTTTACCCTAATTTATTCCGGAAAATTCTTTTTTCATGAATTAGTGGGTTGATTGATACCAATCTGCTTCCTTCAATTAATTGAAATAATAAAAATCGTGATTCATACCTAATTTATATTTGTATACCCTAATTACATTGAGAAATCGTATACCTAATTTATATTAGATTAATACCAATATTCTTTCTTCCTATAATTATATATATACATAATACCAATCTGCTTCTTTCATACTGTCAAAATCCATTTTTTCCAAAGGAAAGGGCAATGCTCATTCACGGATCAAAGTATTCTGTTTGTTTTTTCCTGCATCTGTCATAGTCTGCCAATACATTTTTATGCATATTTTGTCCTTATTTTTATGCATCATTTTTCTGCATACTTTGTCTTTATTTTTATGCATCATTTTCTGCATCTGCCATGGTGTGCCAATACATTTTTGATCCATCATTTTTCAGTACTACTAGCAGTTACATTTTGATGCATCATTGTGCTGCAATTGTCATGCTCTTGCAATTATAGGGCATAGACATCATTTTTATGTACTTTATATCAGATGGGTTATGAGGGGAATTTAATGAGCATTGCTTTTGCTTTGATGTACCTATAGGATGTTTGTGTGAATAATAAACTAACTGTAAGTTTATGTACTAACAGTAAGTTTAAGAACTAAGTCTAAGTTTAAGTACTAACTGTAAGTTTAAGAACTAACTCTAAGATTAAGTACTAACTGTCAAAAAAATGTATGCATTTGGGGTTTAAGTACTATGTGTAAGTTTAACTACTAACTGTGAATATGAAACTAATTAAGAGCCCATACACCAAAAGGACTCTTGGACTGATACAGAAATATATACTACTACAAATACTACTACAGAGTACTCTGTTGCTAATGAAGATGACTAATGATGAACTAATAAAGAAATAAAGCAATATAGGTCTGTTAGTAACTAATAAGTCAGTATAGGTCTGTTAGTAACTAATAAGGCAATATAGGTCTGTTAGTAACTTAGTGTAGTATTATAAAGACAACTTTGCTGCCTGTTTGCATACTTACAGACTCCCGGATTGTTATATCATACGGCTTGCTACATAAGATGTTTTATTGTTACTTTTTTTGTTATTATATTCAGATTTATTGGTGTTTCCTAAGAGGATATGTTGTTGATGATTTTTGATGATGAGACGAGTGGTGAATCTGATCCCAAGGTTTAGATTTTAATAATCTCCAATGGTTATTACTTTATGTAATCAATTTTTTATTGATTAAAGTAAATCATGAAAAACAATTATGATTCAGGTATCGAATAAAGATGAGTTGTTGACACAACGGACAGTGCTACTTTCGTACTACTTGAAAACGTTGGATGCTTGCTGCTCCATAAATCATGTTCAGAAATGTTGAAATATTCTGAGGTATGGATAAATATGTGATAATAACAAATTATCTTATACCCGTTTTAAATCTATATTTAAATTCTTTGACCCAAAGTGAGCCATTCATTTTCATCAAGTATTGAACTATTTCATGTGTTGTAGTTTTTAAAAGGGAACGCTGGGCACAATCATCACCTTCACTGTATCATTAGTGGTCTCAAATAGTATACTCTATCTGACTATATGTATCTTGATTTGTAATAGGCTGAATTTTTTTGAGGAAATACTATAAATTGAATAAGTTTTAACCTCTCTGATTTTATGTATAGACATCATTAGGATGACTCGTATATGTTATCAAAAGATGATTTTTTTTATCAAAGAATACTCAAATAACTTGGTTTGAACTCTTCGGCTCTTGGTTTATTTTGCACTGCCTGAACTCTTCTGCTCTCGGAAAAGCAAAAACATCTGTGGTCATTGTGTTAGTGTGGCATGTGAAATCAGTGTTAAGAAACTGTATGCCTGAGGTGGGTTTAGTGAGGTCAAGTCACTATCACGACGGAGGAGGAAACCCTGACCTGGGTGCCCTTTAAGATACCGGAGAATGCAAAGAGCAGCGTTCCAATGGTCCAGACGTGGAGCCTGCATAAACTGAGATAAAGCATGAACAACATAACAGATGTCTGGCCGAGTAATGGTCAAGTACAAGAAACGGCCAACAAGACGACGGTACTTAGCAGCATCCCGAAGCTCAGCACTAGTGGAGCGGGGGAGATTGTGGTTGCTGGGCAAGGGGGTGTCGGCAGGCTTGCATCCGGAGAGATTGTGCTCCTGAAGAATATCCAATGTGTATTTGCGCTGATTAAGAACCATACCAGTAGAGGAGCGAGCACATTCTATACCCAGAAAAAAAGAGACAGGACCAAGGTCTTTGAGCTGAAAACATGCATCCAAGTACTTTTTAAAGGAAGAACACAAAGAAGGATTATTGCCTGCAACAAGAATATCATCCACATAAACAAGAACAACAAGTATATCAAGACCACGATAGAGATCAAAAAGAGTATGATCCGCATGGGCCTGGCGAAAGCCATAGCGACGTAGGGCCATACGAAGCTTGGCAAACCAATTACGGGGAGACTGGCGGAGCCCGTATAAAGACTTTCGCAAACGGCAAACCTTCCCAAGAAACAAATGAGAGTATCCAGGGGGAAGCTTCATATAGATCTCATCCTGAAGATCCCCATGTAAAAAAGCATTGTTGACATCCAACTGATCAACCTGCCATCCTCGTGCAACTGCGACAGACAACAACACCCGGACTGTAGCCAACTTGGCTACGGGGACAAAAGTATCGGTGAAGTCGACCCCCACCTCCTGGTGGTTTCCCAAGACAACCAGACGGGATTTATCCCGCTCCTTGGTGCCGTCAGACTGATATTTAGTACGATACACCCACTGACAACCAAGGGCCTGCCGATCAGGAGGAAGAACAGTAATCTCCCAAGTATGGTTGCGCTCCAACGCAGTAAATTCTTGTGCCATAGCTTCCCTCCAAGAAGCATATCTGACAGCTTCCCGATATGATGTGGGAACCGGAGAAGCATCAATAGCACCAAGAAAGCCCTTGTACCTGTTATGCAACTTATCATAATGAACATAGTTAGTAATCGGGAACCGTGTACCGGACGAGACGGAGCCAGGTGAAGAGGGAGACGGAGTGACGGTAGACACAGAATTGAGGACATAATCATTGAGGCGGGAGGGGAGGCGACGGGTGCGAGGAGGTAAAGGAGATGGAGACGGGACGGACGAGATGGCCTCGCCCGTGGACTGGACAATGATGGGAAGAGGGGGCTGTTCGGTTGACGGGACAGGGACGGGGGACGGAGTTGGGGACGGTGGCGGGCTAGGCTGCTCGGTGGTGGTGTCGCCGAGGGAGGCAGCCGGCTGAGAGACGACGGGAAAATCAACGTCGGCAAGGTTTAATACGGGTTGGACGGGACTGGTAGTGTTCGGGACAGAGAACGGGAATTGTGATTCGTCGAACACGACATCCCTAGCGTGAAAAAATTGGTGAGTGTCCAAGTTATACACCCGCCACCCTTTTGTTCCATAGGGATACCCAATAAACATGCATTTCACGCTACGGGGAGAAAATTTGTTTGGGGGTTTAGGTGTTTGACGGACAAAACAAAGACAACCAAAAACCCGGAGATGACTCAAATCTTGTGGTTTAAACGAAAGTACTTCAAGAGGAGATTTCCCACCCAAGAGTTTTGTCGGTTTGTGATTAATTAAATAAACAGCAGTTTTGACACATTCCCCCCAAAATTCAACTGGAAGAGATGCTTGAAACATGAGAGAACGAGCAACGTTGAGAATGTGACGATGCTTTCGTTCTACTCGACCATTTTGCTGAGGGGTACCAACACACGACGTTTGGATACAAACACCCATGGAATCATAATATTGACGTAAAGGGGCATTGAGAAATTCGGTGCCATTATCAGACCGGACTACTTTGATGATTTTAGAGAATTGGGTGTGAATCATGGTAAAAAACCGTTTAAGACAGGATGTTACCTCACTTTTAGTACGAATAAGATATACCCAAACATCACGAGAAAAATCATCGACAATTGTAAGAAAATAATGAGCACCAGATGACAAACACGGAGAATAAGGACCCCATAAATCACAATGAATTAAATCAAAGATTGCTTCAGCTTTATTATGACTAACAGGAAAGGAAGAACGAGTTTGTTTAGACAAAAAACAAATCTCACAAGCTTGAAGTTTCTTGATAACAGAACTTGACTTATTGGACTTTAAAAGGGAAATAATATCTGAGGAAGGATGACCCAAACGTTGATGAAGTAGCAAAGGATCCACGTTAGCCACATTAGCTGACACAGAGGAAGAAACCAGGATGTATACTCCGTTTCGCTTTTCACCATGTCCAATCACCATCTTCGACGAACAGTCCTGTATTACACAACCAAAATCATTAAAAGTAACATAACAGATGGTGTCCCGAATCAAACACCCGACAGAAATCAAATGACAATGCAACGTGGGGACGTAAAACACATGATGGAGAACCAGACTAGAGGTCACACGGACACTTCCCTTTTTAGTAGCCTGAATCCGGGAGCCATCGGGAAGACAAATAGGATGAGAGAAAACATCCTCAATATTGAACATGTGAGACAGAGTACCCGTCATATGATGAGAAGCACCGCTATCAATCAACCAATCACACGAGGTAGTAGTCATCTTGGTAGTTTTTATGCTAATGTTTTTCACACCAAACAAATCCAAACTCACAGAACACTGGTGGGAGAAACTGCTGCGGCAATTTGGACGGACGGATCACTTGGACGGACAAAGCAATTGGACAAGTTGCTGCTTTGCTGCTGTAATTTGATGGCGATTCTGCGCAGATGACCGGAAAAGGGGCGGCGACTTCAACGGGCAAACAGTGAATCTAGGCGACGACTTCAACAGGGGATTCTGACCGGAAAAGGGACGGGCAACAGATCTTCTTCACAGAAGACCGGAACAGGGACGAGGGAACAAGGACTTCGCCGGCGAGACATGGGACTCGGACAGGCGAGACAGGGGACTAGGACGGAGACGTGAGGCGGTTCACCGGCGAGGGACTGATGGCGTTCCGGCGAGGACAACCGGTGAATCGAGAGACGGACTTGCAGCGGTAGACCTAGGGTTTTACGTGATATCCCAGGTTTGCTCCTACCATGTAGAATTTGGTGAACTGAATGACTTGGTTGTTTCATAGATACCGAAGGATATAAATACAAGTTACAAGCCCAACACGATAGGCCCACAATATTACACAATAATATACATAAAATAATATATACATGATATACGCTAACATTGTTTAATCCAGTTTTATGAATTAGGAAAACTGTGGGAAGCTGCAAATCAGGTGTGTTTTTGTAATTTGTTTGGGTGAGCTATGATGTTATAATTTAGCATTGATGTTTCCTACTTTTGGAGTTTTTGCTGGCAAATCAGGCATCCAAAACTAATATTTCCTCATGTTTTTCCGCTTCCTTTGTTGGGAAGAAACTGGAAAAAGCAGTGTTGCTACATTTTTTGGCTAATTCACTTTTTGGACTTGGCAACTAAAGATTATGTCATTTGCTTTGTTTTCCAAAAGCAGAATTTTATTTCCACTTCCACTGTCCTTTGGGGATAATTTCGTATTTGTTAAACACAGATTTCTAAGCGTAATCGCGTTTAAAAACTTTTATATTTTACATCATTATTGGAAAATATTAAAATCTTTATACATAAAATTTGAGAGTTGGGCTTCTAGGATTGTGACATGTGGAACGCTTATTAGATAACTTTTTTGACATAGCAAGTAATATTTAAAGATGTAGTTAACAAAAACACTTATTTTATGGAAATTGAATTTCGTATTTGTTAAACACAGATTTCTCCGCATAATCGCGTTTAAAAACTTTTATATTTTACATCATTATTGGAAAATATTAAAATCTTTATATATAAAATTTGAGAGTTGGGCTTCTAGGATTGTGACATGTGGAACGCTTACCAAACAATTTTTTTGACATGTGAGCATGTCACGTAAGCATATCAAACAATTTTTTTTATCAAACAATTTTTTTGGCATCTGATTCATCATGCCAAGCAGATTCAAATGTAGGTGTTGATGGCGACTGGATAACAATTGAGTTTTTGAATGAAATCAAATGTTCGGGAATCCCAAACCATAGGATAGTCTTAAAAAAAAGGGGTACCAATTATGTTACTGAGGAACATTGACCAAACATCTGGATTGTGTAATGGTACAAGATTAATTGTTGAGGAGATGCGAAAGAATGTTATTGGTGCTATTGTGGTTTCAGGAAATCGAGTGGGCAAAAAAGTTTACATACCCTGGATGAATTTGGTTCCGTCTGATCCAGGACTACCTCTAAAGTTCCAGAAAAGATAATTTCCAATAGTCTTATGTTTTGCTATGACTATAAACAAAAGTCAAGGTCAAACATTGTCATTTGTTGGATTATTTTTAACTAAGTCAGTGTTCACTCATGGTTAGCTTTATGTTGCTGTTTCGCGAGTAAAGACAAAGATATGATTAAAAATATTAGTCTTAGACGACAATGAAATCCTTGCAGCCATACAAAAAATGTTGTGTATCCTGAAATCTTTCAAAAAATTTGGTATTAAAGCAAACTTTGTTGTGTGTAGATTCAATTCCTCAAATATTATTCTTTTTACTTTGCTTTTCTTTTGTGTGTTATTATAAATCATGCATGAGGTATATTTCCTTTATTCTGGAAAAAAATATTGCATTGAATAAATTCAGAATCGACAAGATATTCGTCCGAACCCGTGCGTTGCACGGGTAGGAATACTAGTATATAAAATTTTAGAGTTGGGCTTCTAGGATTGTGAGATGTGGAACGCTTATTAGACACTTTTTTGACATGTCAGCATGCCATGCCAGCAAGTAATATTTAAAGAAGTAGTTAACAAAAACACTTATTTTATGGAAATTGAATTTCGTATTTGTTAAACACAGATTTCTAAGCGTAATTGCGTTTAAAAACTTTTATATTTTACATCATTATTGGAAAATATTAAAATCTTTATACATAAAATTTGAGAGTTGGGCTTCTAGGATTGTGACATGTGGAACGCTTATTAGATAACTTTTTTGACATAGCAAGTAATATTTAAAGAAGTAGTTAACAAAAACACTTATTTTATGGAAATTGAATTTCGTATTTGTTAAACACAGGTTTCTCCGCATAATCGCGTTTAAAAACTTTTATATTTTACATCATTATTAGAAAATATTAATATCTTTATATATAAAATTTGAGAGTTGGGCTTCTAGGATTGTGACATGTGGAACGCTTATCAAACAATTTTTTTGACATGTGAGCATGTCACGTAAGCAAGTAATATTTAAATAAGTAGTTAACAAAAATACTTATTTTATGGAAATTGAATTTCGTATTTATTAAACACAGATTTCTCAGCATAATCGCGTTTAAAAACTTTTATGTTTTACATCATTATTAGAAAATATTAAATTTTAATAATATATTTTGATACATAGTATTTAAACAAGGAAATCATATTAAAAAAATCAAAAGAAACAAATTTATTCCAAGAAGGGATAGATTAGTAGTACTAAAGTAAATCTTTATCTTTATATATAAAATTTGAGAGTTGGGCTGCTAGGATTGTGACATGTGGAACACTTATTAGGCAACTTTTTTGATATGTCAGCATGCCATGTCAGCAAGTGATATTTAAAGAATTAGTTAACAAAACACTTATTTTATGGAAATTGAATTTTGTTTTTGTTAAACATAGATTTCTGAGCATAATCGTGTTTAAAAACATTTATATTTTATTTGATTATTGGAAAATATTAAAATTTAATAATATATTTTGATACGGATTATTTAAACAAGGAACTCATATTAAAAAAATGAAAACATACAAATTTATTCCAAGAAGGGATAGATTGGTCGTACTAAAGTAAATCTTTATATATAAAAATTTGAGAGTTGGCTTCTAGGATTGTGTCATGTGGAACGCTTATTAGACAACTTTTTTTGACATGTCAGCATGCCATGTCAGCATGTAATATTTAAAGAATTAGTTAACAAAAACACTTATTTTATGGAAATTGAATTTCGTAATTGTTAAACACAGATTTCTCAGCATAATCGCATTTAAAAACTTTTATATTTTACATCATTATTGGAAAATATTAAAATTTAATAATATATTTTGATACGTAGTATTTAAACAAGGAACTCATATTAAAAAAATAAAAACAAACAAATTTAATCCAAGAAGGAATAGATTAGTAGGACTAAAATAAATCTTTATATATAAAATTTGAGAGTTGGGCTTCTACGATTGTGACATTTGGCACGCTTATAAGACAACTTTTTTGACATGTCAGCATGCCATGCAGCAAGTAATATTTAAAGAATAAGTTAACAAAAACATTTATTTTATGGAAACTGAGTTTCGTATTTGTGAAATACAGATTTCTCAGCATAATCGCGTTTAAAAAACATCTATATTTTACATCATTATTGGAAAATATTAAAATTTAATAATATATTTTGATACTGAGTATTTAAACAAGGAACTCATATTAAAAAAAATAAAAACAAACAAATTTATTCCAAGAAGGGATAGATTGGTAGTACTAAAGTAAATCTTTATATATAAAATTTGAGAGTTAGGCTTCTAGGATTGTGACATGTGGAACGCTTATTAGACAACTTTTTTGACATTTCAGCATGCCATGTCAGCATGTAATATTTAAAGAATTATTTAAAAAAAACACTTATTTTATGGAAATTGAATTTCAAATTTGTTAAACACTGATTTCTTAGCATAATTGCGTTTAAAAATTTTTATATTTTACATCATTATTGGAAAATATTAAAATTTAATAATATATTTTGATACGTAGTATTTAAACAAGGAACTCATATTAAAAAAATTCAAAACAAACAAATTTATTCCAAGAAGGGATAAATTGATAGTACTAAAGTAAATCTTTATATATAAAATTTGAGAGGTTGGCTTCTACGATTGTGACATGTGGCACGCTTATAAGACAACTTTTTTGACATGTCAGCATGTCATGTCAGCAAGTAATATTTAAAGAATTAGTTAACAAAAACACTTATTTTATGGAAATTGAATTTCGTATTTGTTAAACATAGATTTCTCAGCATAATCGCGTTTAAAAACTTTTATGTTTTACATCATTATTAGAAAATATTAAAATTTAATAATATATTTTGATACGTAGTATTTAAACAAGGAAATCATATTTAAAAAAAATCAAAACAAACAATTTATTCCAAGAAGGGATAGATTAGTAGTACTAAAGTAAATCTTTATATATAAAATTTGAGTGTTGGGTTTCTAGGATTGTGACATGTGGAACACTTATTAGACAACTTTTTTGACATGTCAGCATGTCATGTCAGCAAGTAATATTTAAAGAGTTAGTTAACAAAACACTTATTTTATGGAAATTGAAAATCGTATTTGTTAAACACAGATTTCTCAGCATAATCGTGTTTAAAAACTTTTATGTTTGACATCATTATTAGAAAATATTAAAATTTAATAATATATTTTGATACATAGTATTTAAACAAGGAAATCATATTTTAAAAAAATCAAAACAAACAAATTTATTCCAAGAAAGGATAGATTAGTAGTACTAAAGTAAATCTTTATATATAAAATTTAAACAAGGAAATCATATTAAAAAAATCAAAAGAAACAAATTTATTCCAAGAAAGGATAGATTAGTAGTACTAAAGTAAATTTTTATATATAAAATTTTAGAGTTCGGCTTCTAGGATTGTGACATGTGGAACACTTATTAGGAAACTTTTTTGACATGTCAGTTTGTCATGTCAGCAAGTAATATTTAAAGAATTAGTTAACAAAAACACTTATTTTATGGAAATTGAATTTGGTATTTGTTAAACACAGATTTCTAAGCGTAATCGCGTTTAAAAACTTTTATATTTTACATCATTATTGGAAAATATTAAAATCTTTATACATAAAATTTGAGAGTTGGGCTTCTAGGATTATGACATGTGGAACGCTTATTAGACAACTTTTTTGACATGTAAGCATACCATGTCAGCAAGTAATATTTAAAGTACTTAACAAAAAACACTTATTTTATGGAAATTGAATTTCGTATTTGTTAAACACAGATTTCTCAGCATAATCGCGTTTAAAAACTTTTATATTTTACATCATTATTGGAAAATATTAAAATTTAATAATATATTTTGATACGTAGTATTTAAACAACGAACTCATATTAAAAAAATAAAAACAAACAAATTTAATCCAAGAAGGAATAGATTAGTAGGACTAAAGTAAATCTTTGTATATAAAATTTGAGAGTTGAGTTTCTACGATTGTGACATGTGGCACACTTATAAGACAACTTTTTTGACATGTGAGCATGCCATGTCAGCAAGTGATATTTAAAGAATTAGTTAACAAAAACACTTATTTTATGGAAAATGAATTTCATATTTGTTAAACACAGATTTCTCAGCATAATCGCATTTAAAAACTTTTATATTTTACATCATTATTGAAAAATATTAAAATTTAATAATATATTTTGATACAGAGTATTTAAACAGGAACTCGTATTAAAAAAATCAAAACAAACAAATTTATTCCAAGAAGGGATAGATTGATAGGACTAAAGTAAATCTTTATATATAAAATTTGAGAGTTGGGTTTCTAGGATTGTGACATGTGGAACAATAGAAATGTATTCTATGTATATTAAAATGCAACAAAAATATGAATGGAAATATATAAAAATAAAATTGAATAATATAAATTTGATATTTCAAAATCTTTTTGAAAATAGAAATGTATTCTATGTATATTAAAATGCAACAAAAATATGAATGGAAAAATAATGCATTTTTCTAAGTATAACACATACCTTTTTTATATTAAAAAAGAAAAAAACCGAATAATAATTTGACTTTTCCAAAAATTAAAAAAATAACTTAATAAATTAATTAAAAAATTTTAAAAAAACATGTTGTTGAAATTTATTTAAAAAAAGAAACGATACTCAAATTCTTTTCCTTAACAAAAAGAAAATGGTAAAATTTAAAATTTATTTTTAATTTTTTTAAAAATAATAATAAGAACAATGAACATATCTTTTGTATATCCTAAAGTCTTTCAGAAAATTTAGTATTAAATTTTTGTTGTGTTGTACAAAATCAATCTCTCAAATATTATTTATTCCACATTGGTTTTTTTCTATGATATTAAATATCATGCGAGAAGTATATTTTCTTTATTTTTGAAAAAATATTGTTTTAAATTTTATTTAGAATCGACAAAAAATTTTGTTCCACCCGTGCATGCCACGAGTTCAAATACTAGTACTCCCTCTGTCCTAAAATTTTCTTCCCGTTGCGCAAAACGAAGAAAAATCCCAAGTTTTTTCAATCTATTTTATTTAAATATTGGTATAGAAATAAAAAAATAAAACATACATATTTAAAAACTTCATCAAAAGTTCAACAAAACAAGTGGTGACAAGAATATTTTATTTTATCATATAGGCTATGAAAAAACACAAATAAATATAAATTTCCGTGAAATAGGAATAGTACTCTGAAAAGAAAGTTTTAGGACCAATTTTAGTTTTCAAACAGGCCTAGGCCTTAATATAATCTCCTCTCTACAACCTTACCCTAACTTGCCGCCGCCCACTTCTCTCACAATTCATTTTCGACATATGCTTCGTTGCTTCCATCTTTTCTTCTTCTTGTCTCATTGTTTGTTCGATCTTCTTTGTAATTTTTGGAAATAATGTTCATAAATATATTCATAGATCTACTATGGGATATGATCTATATTTTTCAATAATATTTATTTTTTTCGTGTTATTGAAATAGATATACTATGAGATAGTATAATAGTTATGTTTTGGATGATCTCCGATAATAGACCTTTATTGAATATAATTTGATTTATTGTTGAAATTTGTCGGTGTTTCTTTGAAGATCTATACGTTTTAATTTATAGATTTCTTCCCAGATGCCAAATCAGATAAGATCTATATTTTTAGAAACGGATCTATTATTTGTGGTGTTATTGAGGATGGTCTCCGATGATAGACCTTTTTTAAATTTGTATTGAATTTATTTTGTGAAATTTTTGGGTGTTTCTTTGAAGATCTATATGTTTTTACTCCATGATCGGAATTTTTTTTGGTAAAATTTTAAAGTGATTCACAGACATGGCGAGGTGGTCTCCGATGAAAGACAGAGACTTCTACAACTCTACATCTCGATCTGAAAAGTTTCATTTTGATCTAAATTTTGACCTTTAAGGTCTCTACAGAAGGGGTCTCCGATCTATGACAATTTGTTTTGCTTGGGAAAAGGTATAATATTGATTCAATTAACATGCCTTACTTTTATTTCCCGAATATTTCTGCATATATTTCACTGAATAATTGTTTTGCTGAAAATGTATAGATCTTAACACTAATTTCACATTGGCTTCGAAAATACTTTGGCTTCCTTACATTGCCCTTCTTCTCTATTCTTTCTATTGGAAATCAATTAACTTGTATATGCTGCCCTTCTCTATCTTTTTGGTTGGGACATAAATTTCAAATAAATTTTATTTACCCTATTCGTTTAAATAAAAGTATTTTTTATTTAAAAAAAATCTTCTAGTATGGATAAATCCCTCCTAAATTTATACATCACCCATCACTGATACAGACCCTCTCTGTGATTTAGAAACATATTTATATACGGAGTATTATTTAAAAGTATTACAACCAGAAGAATACTGTTTTATATGTTTATTTGAGGTATGTTACCTGCCAAAGACAGATTATTTCCATAGTGAGTTTCCTTAAATTCTATTTAAATGTATACTAAGATTGAAATTTAGCAGTGTATATGATACGGTCGAGGAATCTAGGGCAACAGAGCCAACGCACAAGGTTACGAGACGGATGGGGACGCAGGCTAGGCGTGCCCTGGGTTGGCAGAAGCAATTCGAGATGTATTAAACCTTTATTTATCAACTTTATTTAATTATTGTATCATAGATTTTGTTAGGTGAGCGAATTAAAAGCTCCTTCGAGGGTTTCTTTACGGTTCTTTACCTCGTCGCTTTTCTTGAACCGTTGGGATAGAAAACGTAGTTTTAGGAATAGGGTTCTCTATTTAAGTAGAGGTGCATCTCTACACTACTTTCAAGCAATAACAAAAACCCTAAACCCTATCTCTCTCTCTGGTTTACGTACGGCATCTCGCCGGCGACCTCTCTCCCTCTCTTCCCGTCACCTCTTCCTCCTATGAGTTCGAAGACGCTCTGAGTCTTCCTCTTTCGATACGAAACCGTATCATTGTGCTCTTGTTGATTCTCATGGCTTTAGAGGCGGGTTCCAACGTGATTTTTCAGGAATTTCAGGAACAATTGGATCATCAACTCTTATCGCAGACCACGGCCATGCAAACCCTAACGCAAACCGTCGAGAAGCTTTAGCGACAGTTGGAGACCGTCACTGCCCGGGTGGAGAAGACGCCATACACTAGTTCGGCCGGGCCGCGTTTCACAGACTCCGGGACTGTCATGTCCAAACTCAAGCTGGATATGCCAAAAACTGACGGGGTGGATCCTATCGGGTGTCTTTTTAAGGCCAATGAATGTTTCTCCTTCTACGGCGTGCCAGATGACCAACGCCTCACGGCTGTGTCGCTCATGTTGGAGGGCGCGGCGTTGGATTGGTTTCGGTGGAGGCAGCGTAATCGTTCGTTGCTTTCGTGGACTGATTTCGTCACGAAATTCAAGCTTCGTTTTGATCCCTCAAATTATGTGGACTTCTTGGGTGTGCTGTCAAAGGTCTAGCAGGCCGGGTCCGTGTTGGAATATCAAGAAGCTTTCGAGAAGGTTTTGGTGCATGTTTCAAATGTCAACGAGGCCCATCTCAAGTCCCTATTCTATGTCGGCTTGAAACCCCATCTTCAGCATGACGTGATGTTGCACAAACTAGATTCCCTCTCGGCCTCGTTTGCCTTGGCTCTCGAGTGGGCTGCCACAGTTTCTCATCGGCCATCCTTACCACGCGATGGCGGGTTCTCCAAGCCGTACGTGCCTCCTCCACCAGGGCCGCTACTTCCCACGCATGGTTAGAAACTCTCCCCTGGGCTGAAGGTAACCCTTACCCCACCTGTTCGTCGCCTTACCTTTGCGGAAAAAAAGGAGCGGGACGCCCGCCAAAGGGCTTTGTTATAATTGCGATGAGAAGTGGGTTAAAGGGCACTGTTGCGGCCGTTTCTTGTTATTGATTGAGGACGACGACGAATCCGAGGACGTGGAACACCCCCCGGAGGATGACACTGTAATTACCGCGGATGTTTCCTCGCTCCACAGTTTGGCAGGAGTGACCGCCCCCCGGGTCTGGGATGTTGGCCGAGGTCGTGGTGGATGTCTTGATCGATAGTGGCAGTACACACAATTTCATTCAACCGACCGTGGTTGAGAAGCTTCGTCTTCCCATCTTGGAGGTGGCTCCGTTCCGGGTCTACGTGGGCAACGGCGCATCATTGGTGTGTACCCACTAGTGCCGCGGCTTGGACCTATTATTGCAGGGTTTTCGTTTCACTTTGGACGTCTTTGTGCTTCCGATCCATGGCCCAGATGTGGTGTTGGGCATCCAGTGATTAAGAGCGTCTTCGAGCTTGTAGGAGGAAGAGGTGACGGGAAGATAGGGAGAGAGGCTGCCAGCGAGATGCCGTACGTAAAC